GACCTTTGACCCCTAAATTTGTCATCCTGAGTCCTTTTTACGATTCCCCCCCCCCCGTACGTCGAGCGGTTAAGATTTGTGCCCAACTGTTGACGAACGCACGAATGCACAGATGCACGGACGATCATGCGATTCTACAAGCTGCATCTAACTACGTCAGAAGAGCTAATAGGTAACAAGTAAAAAATTAAAAATAATACATACTAAAGAGGTAGGTAAAGGGAAAAAAAGGAAAAAAGGGTAAAGCCCTGCTGTTCCCCAGCTGGGACTCGACCCTGGAATACCGGTGTAGGAGACGAATGTTCTAGCGATTAGGCCACTGCGCCGTTAAGGGTATACCCCATGGATTCACACGTACGTAATGTTAATCTGTACGCACCGCCATCTATTGATGAATAGAATTTTTATGAATTTTTAACTTTTTAACTTTTTTAGATTTTCCAGACGTGCTGACGTATCTTTAGTTTTCCTCTAGGCTGCGGAGTTCTCTAGTTATGCAAGTACGAACTAATTCGGCTGAACAACTTTATATATATAGAAGCCGGTGCAGCCTCTCCGGGCGACAGAAAAAAAACACGAGGCGATACGCACAAGTCCTGGATGACTGAAATTTCATCGATTTCTTCAGATTCTTCGTGAAGAACACGTTTTTACCACAGGAAACCCTTTTGTGCTCCGAATGCGCGTGCGGCGTGAAGATAGCGACGAAGTCTCTGACGGCTCTCACACCCTCTCGCACTGTTTTATATACTGGCGAATAATGGGGGTGTGGTTGAAAGGGTGCCCTCGACTGACTGCGTGCGTGCGTGCGTGCGTGCGTGCGTGCGTGCGTGCGTGCGTGCGTGCGTGCGTGCTTGTGTCCATGTGATGGTGTATGCTGTGTGGAGTGTGAGCTGGTGTGTGTGTGTACGTGTGCTGTGCGTGGCGCGGTGTGCGCTGGTGCTCGACGTTGCATAGGTGAGCTGTATCGCGTGCCCGTGCGTGACGTGCGTGCGTAATTCGAGGTCTCCCGGTATATCGGGTCCGTGCAGGTCTTAGAAAGTGCAAACGCCTCCGAGAAATGAATATTTCGGCGATCTAGAGCAAAAGTGCCGAACGACAAAACGGGAATAGCCGAGAGAGAGGCCGAAAAGGAACAGCCATATTGCCCCGCACGCATTTAATTTAGCAAGGGTAGAGAAAGCAAGTAAAGAACGAAGCAGCTTGCCCGATCCAGAGAAACCGCGATAAGCATTCGTATATATGTCCTGCCCACCCCTCAACCATATGCGGTCATGGAGCCCCGAGGCAGCTGTGTGCACTGATGAAGACGAACGGATACCGGACCAGGCTAGAAGTGGCCTAATAAAGAACGGGCGGTCATACACGTGGGGATAAGGGTGCTGGTATAAATAGCCTTGCCTGCTGCATTATATAAGCTTTCACGTGTGTGCCGCTGTGTGTGTGGTGTGTGTGATGTGTCGTTGTTGTGTGTGTGATGTGTGGTGTGTGGAGTGTGTGTGGTGTGGTGTGTGTGTCGCGCGGAGGGTTTGATGTAGGGGCGTGCGTGCGGTTGCGTGCGTAGCGGGGCTGCGTGGCGGGCGTGTGCGTGACGTGGTGAAGCGCCGGTGTTTTTTGATGTACAGCCGCCTAGCAGTCTGCGATGGCGAGGAGTGGATTGGGGAATTGCTGGGGAGTGGATGGGGAATGGATAGGGAATGGATGGGGAATGGATGGATGGATGGAGAAAAGTGGTGGGGGAATGGATTGGGGAATGGATGGAATGAATGGAATGTGGGAATTGGATGGGAAGGTGGATGGGGAATGGATGGGGGAATGAATGGGGAATGGATGGGGAATGATGGGGAATGGATGGGGAATGGATGGGGAATGATGGGGGAATGGATGGGGAATGGATGGGGAATGGATGGGGAATGAATGAAGAGTGTATGGGGGAATGGATTAGAAATGGATGGGGATACCGGGGCGGAACAGGTGACTAATTTTCCCGAGCGAAAATCACGAGAGGAAGAAAACACAAGCCACATGAGGAGAACGATCGCTGATGGTTTTTTATATGCGGGACTAAACATTGACAGTCTCGTATTTCAGTCGAGCACTAAGTACTCCAGCTGGGCCACATACATGACACATGTCCGTGCGCCAGTACATACGCGTCTTGCGTATGGCGTATATTGCGTATGGCGTCACGCGGCTTTGCGTGTGGCGTGTTCTCACGCTGCTATTATTGGCCTGGAATAGCGACGCCTAGTTCTCAGTTGTACAAGTTATACATTTGGATTCCTAGCCGTAACCAGTGCGGCTCTAGAACTATAGCCCTTCGCCCTGCCTTAGCCCTTCACTCCTGGAGTTTTAGAGCTGTAACCAGTGTCAACGCTGCTCTGGTGGCTGAGGTCGCCAGCGGCAAGATCTCCAGTGCTTACCGAAAAAACAAACTTATTGGTTTTCATGAAAGTAAATTTGCCTAAAATTGTTCCCGACGCGACTCTCCGCAAACTATAGGTTTCTTGATACGACTCACGCGCCACTGGCCGGGGATGAACAGCCTGATAAAAGCCGATCATGTGAACTGACTGCAATAAAACGCGATATCTATGCAATCGCGGTTTACGTGTTACGATATCGCGTTACGATGTATAATAATAATGGTTACGCGACATTATTTAAGAGACAGCTGATTATTGCAGACGTTTATGGTAAGCCAACACGTACAGGCGTGCAATAAGGCCAGCATCGACAGGGTGAGATGGCGGGCAGGCCGTAACAATGTTTTTTCCCCACTTTTTTTCACACAGTCACACGCACGCGCACGCGCACATGCACGCATGCACGCGTTGATTCGGGTGGTGTGATACGGCCAGAAAACGAACTCTACACCACTGGGTGGGAAGCTGACGTATGGCATGAACCGTACAATGCAATATATATATATACCCCTCACAATGACCCTTACAAGAACTCTCACAATGACCCTTACAATTACCTTTACAATGACCCTTACAATTACCTTTACATTGACCCTTACAATGACCTTTACAACGACCCTTACGACGACCCTTACAAGCACACGTGGACGCTGCTATACCTGTATTTTGTCCAGCTGTTTCTTCAGTTCCTGCGACCTCGGTCCAGGCAACGCCGTCTTCATCGTCGGCCCCGCCGGCTCCTCCGGGTATAGGGTTGCCGCGGCGACGGCGTAGCCGCGGGACACTGCGACACAACACACGCACCATGACGACTAGCACTTGACGACAGTCACGGCCGGGGACGCGACGAACCGTTCACGTCTCAAGCCCGCGCGGCAACTAGACCTAGAGTTCTATAGGAAACACACATACATACGCGCAGTTTTAATATTTCTTTTTCCAGAGAGAGAGATAGAACGAAAACAACAAAGAGCCTACGCGTGAAGAATCGCGGATGAAATCCAATACCCGAGTCCCGGATTGTTCCCCTCCCCAAAGTTAATTGCGTAGGGCGTGTAATTTCGCCGTTAGTGAATGGAGAACGCAAGTAATACGGTCGCTGTCGATATAACTCTCAAACACGTATTTTTCGCTTTTTTTTCTATAGTTTCTACGAACGGGGTGAGAGAAATTGCCACATACTCGGGAAAAAATATATGGCGATACACGATGTTGTAGCTTGCGAGGTCAAAATTTAAAATGGCTACCGCCGTATATAAAAAGGGACACTTAAATTGGGGGTTCACACGAGTTACTGTATCGTACAGTTAAACCTGTGTATAAGGGATTAAGGGTCACTCGAGAAAAATCCCTAGAGTGACCTTTCTATAGAAATGTTGAAATATTCAATGCACGAGTCGAACTTACAGTATTTACTCGTGTGTAAAGGCCGCCGCACACCAGCCGATTTTTACAAACGATGAAGCGATGAAGCGATGAAGCGATGAAGCGATGA